AACCACCCGGCTATATTTCTCTGCGTCGTTGATTTGAGCAGTACACGAAGAAATATCACAGTTCCATCAATGATTAGTCAATGAACATTCTTTATTATGAATGGATATCGCAAAAGAAAAAAAGGAAGCAGGAAACGTAGCAGATGATTTGACAAGGATTTTATTATCACCGGCAAAACAACTTAATGTTAATGTGTAAAATAATATTAATGACGATTCTGAAATTGAATACTTTAGGAAATATCCATTGTTCCTTTCGGATTGGTGTTTCTCATAGTTATATCCACTATCACAATGGATCATTCACATTGAAATTAGCTATTTTTTTGAAATATTCAAGGTAATCATGATATTATTGAATTAATTATATAAAATTGAAGGACTTTATAAAATTTTATAAATTTGTTATAGCAATTTGATTGATCATGCAACACCGTTATATATCGATTATTTTTTTAACAAAAATATATATATGCCGACATGCCATGAGCCCATAAAGAAGTAGCATGTCGTATTTGTAAATACGTGAACGTTTTATATTTTTTTTTAGGCGAAATGCCAATCAACCAATTAAAATAAGGTTGATTGGATAGAAAGATTAGATGTAATATATTATATGTGGATTATTATTATATTTTGAATTAATTAATTTTTTTGATTGGATAGAAAGATTAGATGTAATATATTATATGTGGATTATTATTATATTTTGAATTAATTAATTTTTATAAAAATTACGGATATTTTTTTTATAAAGAAATGAATTTTCTTTTGAATAAAATTTTTGGATTTATATTGTAGTTTTATTTGTCTTTTGATTTGATAATTTCATATAATTCTTGACGATTCGTTTTTTAGAAAGTTTGGTTAAGTTTCTAGGATTTGTTTGGGTAGGTTTTAGTTTGTGTTTGTAGATTTTTTTTTAATTATATTTTATATAAATAATATATATATTTAGCAACATCATCAACTAGTATAGGATCATATGTATCTTGCAAAAAACTAATTAAAAAGAGGGATATTGATCAAGGTAATTTGCATTTGTAAATAAATTTATTATTTTAAACTAGATTTATTTGAGCAAATTCTTGAAATCGAAAAAATAAAAGAAAGAAGATTATCAACAAACTTTTGGATCAAAGTTATGCTTGACCAAACCCTTGCAAAAAGATCAGAGAGTTGAAAGAAGAAACTAATTAAAATCATTTTTGATATAATATTTAATTATGAAAATGTAATAAAAAATATTATATTGCATTGGAATTATTTTAATGAAGGGCCTTTTTATTATTTTAATCAAAATATAAATAATTATATTTTTTAGGATCTTGAGTATCCTTGGGGTGGAGATTTATGTTTTCTTTATCAATCACCAAGTTGTGTGCACAAGTTTTATAATTCATTCACTATTAGTAACATTAACTTACTTTTATAAGGTTTCATAATATAATATTTGAGTACAAACCTCCATCTGATTCACTGCCATAATTGCCTACAGCAATTACTATAAATCTACCTTTACCATCTACTCTTGGAGAAATATTGCTTATAATTATTATAATATAATTCTCCCAGATTTAAAAGGATTTTTAATCTCTATTGGTTTGCCATCAATGGCTCCAACACAATTTGGAAAGTTTCAAGACTTCTCAAATTGATCAGCAATTATTATGAAGTCATTTAAATTAGATGGTTTCTAATGGATATTTTCATATTAACATTTTTTTTAAATAAAATATGCTTGTTGCAACTACTATGAATGCTATGTCGCTTACGAAACATAAGCTGCTCTGTCGTTTAATGTCATGTCGTTTGCTGTCCCTCTCTACTGTGAATGCACCCAAACCCACACCCTTAAACAGGTTGTAATAACGAGATGGAACTCTGTATATATCACGATACAGAGTTTCTTAAAATTATATAATACAGGTGTATTGCTTAGAAAGCAAGAATCAAATAAATTAACCACGATTGATATCAATATTTAAAGAATGTTCGGATAATCTGAGCGCAGATACTCGTCCCACAATAAATTAAGTTTATTTATGAAATTAGTTAAATTACAACCTTCTGAAGGTGATACAATAATAATCAAAACCTATGAAACAAGAAAAGATTTCTTTTAAAAGAAAGATTTATTATGCAACCTCTACATAAGGTAGGCTTAATTCTAGTTCCGAATTTCAAAAGTCTTAAGTGATAAGGAAGCTATATAAAACAGCCTTAAAAATGCTAAATGATATAAAATTAGGTGATATCCATAAGTCAATGCCAACTATTATTTATAACTTTCCTAATTCATTCCACACTCATAAAAAAACCTTAAATTCTAAATTAAAAATTTAGAGAATTTCTAGATGATTCGGATGAAGCATAAACATCGACCGATGAAAGCTGTGAGGTGTGAGGATAAACTTAAATTTGATCGCACATAAGACAAATAACAAACAATATTTTGATGTTTTGCAGGGGCTGACAAAGTTTACTCGATAATTTTCTCCTTAACTCTTAATTAACTTGTATATAAATTATTTTTTGTAATAGTTATATATGGGATAAAATAAGGGTGATTGAGCATTAATGAAGTCGGAATATACTTTAATTTGGGTAAGAAAAATTGTCAATTTTTAGAACATTTTGAACCCATTACTGGTTAGCGGTGCATATATACACCACCTCCTATATATCATTTTTAAACATAGTTTTTATTTTAAAAAATAATAAAAAAGATTATTATATAATTTAGACATTGTACCTCAAAACTGAAAAAGAAAAATTAGAAAAAAAAAATTTTTATGTCCCTAAGAAGACCTCAAACATGGCGAATTTATGAGGTCTAAAATGCAAAGTCTTCTGAGTGATCTCACGAGCATATTATAAAATTATTTCGATGAAAACTAGTGTATATATTTTTTTATAGATATATCAATATTTATCAATCATTTTTGAAATTTTAAATAATTAAAATTTTAATTGGTACCATATAAAGTTGACTGGTGCATATATGCACCGTTAACCATCTAGCAGTATTAATTATTTTAAAAAAATTCAAACAAATCAAATTTAACATAATGAATTATAATTTTTTTATATTTTACTTAAAACTATTACCATTACTAAGAGAGAGGGGGGGGGCTCGAGCCCCCTGAAAGTTTTTAAAAAATTTGAGCCCCCTGAGAATTGATTAACATGTTTCTTTTATAATTTTTTATCTCGACCTAATTATATGAAATTATTAGCAAATATTCGGTTCATAAATATTCGAAAATTAAAATTATTCATAAAATTTTTAAATTATTTGTACCCTCTTCCTTGCTGAAGATTTTTTTCTTATGCACCTGTTTTGTCAATTCAATCAAAATAATAGATGACTAATTAAAAAATCAAGATTCTATTAAATAAATATTTAATTAAAATATTTAAATGAATCGTTTCTAATATGACTTAACAAATGACGGAGTTTTACCTTCAGATACTGCTGGTGAATTGGAGATTCATAATTCAATTGATGACGACATTCCAGAACCATCTGCTACAATAAGCTATTCTGTAATTTCTCGCCATTTAAAATGGAGAAAACAGATACGTTATATTCTACAATCCCTTTCAATGGTGAAAATGAAGATATAATAAAACTTGAAGACAATTTGCATGGTAAAAATCCATCAGATATATATTTTAATTTTCGGCGAAGACTTATATTGCCTAATTGTAGATAAAAGTAATATTTATGCAAAACAAATGAATAGGTCTAATAATGTATAATCATCCCAGATATTAAGAGATTTATTGGAATTCTATTATTTACTGGATATCATTCGTTCCCACAGTAAAAGATGTATTAGTCTAATAATAGTGATATTTAAATTCCAATAATCCGGAATACAATGACCCAATTACAATTACTAAATTTGAAATATAATATTCATTAGACAGACAATACTAAAAACATATACATGATAGATTTTAAAAAGTTAGGCCTTACAAAACCAAATTATCATAAAATATATTTTGATAATTTCTATACCTCAATTAAACTTTTGTCATACTTAAAACAAATGGGATATTTTACAGAGGAAGTGTGAGGGTAATAGAATGGAGCATTGCCCAGTTGAATCTATAAATGCTGTAGCAAAAAAAGAAAAAGGATATTATGATTATAGGTTCGAAAAATTAAACGAAATATTTATAGTTCGTTGGAATTATAATACTGTTGTGACGAGGTATTCTAAGAAAATATCTTCTAAAATAAAAATTCCTGAACCAAATATGATCACTGCTTATAACAAACACCTGGGTAGAGTTGATCTGTGTGATAATCTCATATCTACTATAGAATAAAAAGAGGGAAAAAACGGCGGTGGCCAATATTCACTAATTTTATCGATGTAGCTTTGGTAAATTCGTGGAAAATTTGGAAATTCATGAATCGAGATGAGAAGAAGAGATTGCTTGCATTTAGGCGATAAGTTACTACTTCCTTCGAACACTAATAAAAATTGAAAAAAAAATAAGCACAGGGCACACAAGCCAGTTTGCATTACAGAGCGAAAACCCTACTGACTCATCTGGAAATTATTTATCCAAAATTATAGATGGAAAAGGACGTAGATGCAGATATTGCCATACGCACTCAAAATATATGTGCCAAACATGTCAAATCACACTTCGTACTAAATGTTTCAAGAATTTTCATAATATATAAACATTTTCTCGTTTTTATTATAAATTACAAAAAAAAGAATAAAGATTTCTATTGTTATTTGATCTTAGAGTATTACCTTTTTAAACCCCCCACCCTCCCTGTTGAAATCAGTCAAAATGCACTACTAGAATCGATTGATCATGAATCTTTCTTTTTTAATTTTTACTATTTTTTATAATCTATTTTTTATCGTCGTTTTATTTAATCTTATGTAATTCATGCTTTACTTTCAAATATTCTCATAGGTGGATTTAAATTATAAAATATAAAAGAATTAGTGCAATCAAATTTATACCTGATGTAATAAAGGGGTCACAGGATCATCACGTCTATCAATTAATAATAACAAAGAGCTTTCATTTTGTCGAAAATTAAACAACTCGTGATCCCTTGATATGCATTTCTATATAAAAGATTGTTATATAATATTTTATATGGATTATTATCAATGTTATAATATGCAGGTCCGATGCTTTTGATATATTTAGAAAATAGACAAAATATTTAGAATGCCCAATATAAATAACCTGATTCAAACCTTAAATTTTAAAAATTAAAAAAATCAGGTCAAAAAAATTTAAACTCTAATTTATGGGAGAGGAAGTTAAATCCCCTCTTGGGAAAATCCTTATGCCTATGTGACACTTCCCTAAGTGCATTTTTCGAGTTAAATATAAAAAAATCAACCGCTCATCAATATTCCAATAAAAAAAATGGTGACGGTGCTCAAATATCTCTTGATCTAGAGATTAAGAAAAATCAGTTTCTCGGAAAATTTTTGAAAAATTTCAAAATCCTTCATATATTTTAACGAAATCATGTTAAATTTTTAAAATTTCCTGAAAATATTATTGGAGGCGTATTTATTCATTAAAGTTTTCTAAATTCCAGATTTTTCTTTAAAGTTTTAGATATAGCGTTGTATTAAAATAAAATAGTAATTTTAAAAAATTCCTAAATGTAATTTTTTTATTCGTCAGTTAAAAATTATAATTTCTAAAACGTTTGACATATTTGCGATAAAAGAACTTGTTTAATTTTGCTTTTATGCCATATTTGAAATTATTCATCTAGTTAATATTTCATGTGACTTTAAGTAGCCATCTTATCGAGATTTCATATTGTTTATGAAATGATCTAATTACTTGAACATTTTCGGCTAGCTTTAATGTCATATCTGAATTACTTTGATATCTTATAATCGGTTTTCGTTTGAGAGATAAAAAGATGCTTGTAATTCCTTCTACACTCCGTTGTAAAGCAAGTGGGTCCCAGCCAAAATTCTTGATTCATAAAAATAATTATATTATAACATCCAACAAATCAAGAAATAAAGCTAAAAAATGATGAATTCTGTGTGTCTATATCTTGATCTTGATATCAAATATTATTATCAGGTGAAAAAAATATCAGGGCTAAAAAATCTTATGCAAACGTGTATAATGATGGGCAATTCACTTCCTTACATTAATTCAAGTTAAAATAATTGCCCTGACCCCGATGACATTTCGAATTCTTTATTGCAAATGAAAGAAAACAATAAAAATATGTTACACAATACAAAACAAGAGTGATCAATAGGTATCATTATTAAATCTTTTAACGTCATTAACGGATTTAAAAAAAACATAGATTTTTGCATTGAAGAAATCCGAACTCTATATATTAGCAACAATAATCATGCCTAATACAGCGATACATCTTTCAGTCGAGAGTATTTTGGAATTGAGATATATTTTATCACGATAGAGCAAAGATATATTAGATGATATTTTATTATATGTTGTAATCATTATATATCGTCGCAAGACTTTGTAAGTAGCATCTTTGAAATTGTTCAGGACACAAAAACTATTTTAAATATTATTATAATTATAAAATATATACTTATTAATAAATTTTAACTTTTAATTATAATACTTCTTCATAAGAATGGTTTTTAAAAAAAAATATTCACATATGTGACTCCATGGAACTTATGAATTTTTATTTAAAACAGTTACGAGGTTTTAATTGATAAATTTTTTATAAAAATTATTTTTAATAACTATGATTAGGCAACATTTCTAGAATGTATGAAATGTTCAGATATCCAAAGAGACAGAATTTGTTGTAGAATAATTTCTGAGACTTCTTGTATTACAACCCTTGGAAAAATATGAGAATGGCCTGAATCAATATTTTATCTAAAGCAGTTATATTCTTAGATTCAATGCGACGGCCGATTTCTTTTGCATTGGAAGGTAGGTCATTCCATGTCAAATCTATCACCATTTGACCGACCCTTTTTAAAATTATTAAAAATTTATGGAATAATTTAGATGGTTAAAGAGAAAATAGTCACCTGGTTCCCAAGATACAAGGTTTCAAAGGTGTGAAAAGTAGCGACTTTGTAATATGCTGATATCTTAAAAACTATTTACAGTAAAAATAAATATAATAAATATATCATATTGTAATTAAAATAATTTGGAGCCAATTTGAGTCATTAACTTCCAATTTACCTATATTGCTTTACTTGTGTTTTTAAGCTATAAGGGGAGTTGGTTTTCGAATAAAAAAATTTCCTTTTATTTAGACACCTTTTATAAGCGAGGCCATTAATTTTTCCGAAATATGCATTTTTATCAAAAATTTAAATTTTTGCATAAATTTGGCGCTATACGAAAGTGTGAATTATGGTTAAAATTTTGTTGCTAACTTACCAAAAATGGATATTTTACTTTTTATACTAAAATATTTAGAATTTCTATTAAATTTACCAATTAAAAGTGGGGGCAAATGCCCATTAGACATCTTTATCATATATCAAATTTCATTTTTACTATTGATCACCATTGATTGTTACAGAAACATGTTTTATATCCATTTATTTTTTCATATACTAAATTCGAATTAAAATTCGAGTGAAATGTTATATTTAATATTTGCGATGCTGTTTAATTTCAACAAAATTTACCTTCAATTTTATCCTGAAAAATTGGATAAAAATATGAAACTTTTGCGTTCCTGGTATTCTACGCGCTTTATTGAATTTGTCTTCCAAAATTATTTGGTCTGGTTTAGTGTTGTTAAACGGCACGTTTTGAGCCTATTTTTAAAAACGGCAAACTCAATATTTTAGCCAGAAAAATATTACCTAAGCCTCCAGATTTGGCTAATTGATGTCTTGACCTTTGTGCCATCTATGAGCAAAATTCTTATGGCTTGCGTAATATTATTCTGGATAAAATATTGAATTAGCCGTTTTTAAAAATCGGCTCAAATCGAGCCGTTTAACAACACTAATCTGGTTCTTACATTCGTCTTCCATAATATATGAGAAATCTATTCCTTACTAAAAAAAATTAGAAATCTTATGCCTTTTATATTTTCCTTGGAATAAACAAAAAACTCTTTAGGATAAAATATTTGTTCTGGAACAGATCTTTGTAAACCAGCGACGAAAGCGTCAAGTTTACTACTAGAGAAGTAATCGAAAATTTTTTTTTATTAGTCAAACCATAAAAAAAAATAAAATATATAAATAAGTAGAATTCGTCTTTGTTTTTGAGTAAAATGATCAAGTACTGAATTATAAAAGTTATTGCTAGGTTTTAAATTTTTTTAATAGTTTTTTTCAATCGAAATCAAAAATAGATTTAAAATTTTAAAAAAAAATTTTTACATTTTCATTAAAGTTAGTGAAATATCTATAAAATTATTTTACACAATTCTAAATAAATTTATACGCTTAAAATAATTTTGTGCATCAATGTTATTATTTATATTTAATGGGCATCATGGCTAAGCAAGGATTTATAAATTCCTTTACATGATAAAAATCTTCACAATCTTGAAATGATATCTATAGATATAAATGGAAAAAAAATAATATTTATATCTTTTTTTTATATATAAGTTATTATATATGTCGAATTGAGATATGAATCCGTGGGAATTCAGAATCTCTAGACTTTAATCCTTTACCGAGAGAGATTTAAAAAAATTTTAAATCCGATTTATCTGGAAATGTATTCTAGCATGTGTAGAATATTTATAAATTTCAGCCAATTTCCGCCATTGATAGTATTTTTAATATATATGAAAAATCCATATAAAAAATTAATATAAATTATAAGTAGTTCTAAAGTTCATGAAAAAATTGTTTAAAATTTATAGTTTGGGTACTCTATACATGCTGAAACACAATTCCTGTGAAATTAAATTTTTAAAATTTTAAAATCGCCCTTAGTAAATTATTCAAAATAGAGAGATTCTGAATCCCCATGGATTCCATATCCCAATACGACATATATATTTTTCAATCTTAATATTTTTATATTATTTATATTATAGGCTCACACATATGAGATAAAATTTGCACTTAAATATTTCCTTTTAAATAAAAAAAACGTTAAATCAAAATGTATAAAAAGTATCTATAAACAGATATAGATACCTTTGAAATAGTACATAGATAAAGATACTTTTTATACAACTCTGATAATCTTAATAAATTTTCAATAATATAAATCAGAGACCTGCAGGCCCGACCCTAAACCCGGCCCGGTTAAATATACCCGGGCCGGGCCTTAATATTTTTTATAAAAATTTTTACATTATGAGTTAATGGTTATAAGATTATATTATATTATAGTTATGATTAATATAATATTGGGTGATGGTTAACACTACCTAACAACCCACAGATCGATCTAATTATTAATTTCCTGCAAATTTATTCAAAGTATTAATATATTTTTTTATAATTCATATCTAAATTTTTACAACTATATTTTACCAAAACAATCAAATAAAGGAATATCTTAAATAAGCCCCAATATTCAAGTATTATTAATATATTTTTTTATAATTCATATCTAAATTTTTAGAATATATTTTACCAAAACAATCAAATAAAGGATTATCACTTCTTAAAGTTTGTAATTGATTTTACTTAATATAAAGCATTTTTTTAATTGAAAAATTTGTTTTACACAAGTATCATTTTATTTCTCTTTTTCTCTGTCCCAAATTCAAGCAATTACGTATGTAGTCAGGGACAGATCGCAAAATGACGGAAAACTATATAAAAGATTATATTAAATTACAAGAGGCTCAGGAAGTAAATGAAATACCATCGACCAGTCAAATTACGACTGTTGTTAAACAAACTGAATCGTTTTATGACAAATGGAGCGATGGTAATTCTGGTAATATGTCAATACCCGATGATGAATATTATAATTACATTAATAATAGATAAAACATTTAAGGTGGATAATTTGTTAGAGTGGTGGGCGGCTCATCAAAGCGAATTTCCAATTTTAGCAAAATTGGCAATTCCTGCTTTAAGTGCAAGCTGTGAGCGGAATTTTTCCACTACTGGGAGAATTCTTGAAGAAAGAAGAAGTAATCTTCAACCTGAAAAGGTAGATATGCTTCTCTTTCTTCATGATAATTTGTGAATTTTTAATATCTTTCTTGAGTATAGGGTTTCGTCAATCATGCTGGTTTTTTACTTTGCAAACTGTCAAATATTTATTGCATTTATTATATTTACCTTGAGTCATGAAAGTTTTTAATCCAACATTTTTGATTATTTTTTTTACAATATTATATAATACAATTATCTTCTTTTGTTAAAAATTTATATTATAAAATAAATTATATTAATATTGTGCAATTAGATTATATTTTCATAATACTATTTATTATACATGCATTTTTTTAAATAGCGATTTATTTTTATTTTATAAATTAAATAGTAAATTAAATACAATATATTATATTCTCAAAATATTTTCCATTTTTATAAATTAAATATTAGTTTTATTTTTTTTAAATGTAATTATAGTATATGACAAATATTATTACCATTTTTATGAATATTAGTTTTATTTTTATAAATGCAATATAAAATATAGTATATGCTCAAAATATCCATTTTTATAAATAACAGTTTTATAATTTTTATAAATTCAATACAATATTCTCAAAATATTAGCTTTTTACATGCATTTTTTAAATAATAAGCGATAATACTCGCTGAAAAATATGGTAAAATATTTCATAGGTGAATTTTTGTATATACCAGGTCGAATATAATTTTAAAAAATTCGGAGCCGGGCCTGAAATTTTTAAATCCGGGCCGGGGTTGTAAAAAATTTTTTTTTAAAATATCCGGGCCGGGCCTAAAAAATTTAAAACCGGGCCGGACCGTGCAAATAGTACTTCTGCAGGTCTCTGATATAAATACAATTATTAAACATTAATTATTGCTTAAAAGAAAAAATTTTTT